TGAGGATTAGCATTTAAGCTTACAAAGTAATGATAATCTTCGGTCGAACAGGGTTAGAAGTGGTAAAGTCAAAAGACTCATTGTGAAAACGAGAAGACACCGAAAATATTGGCTTCAGAATTTTCTGAGAAAAACCTTCAAAAATGCCTGAAGCTGTCCGAATCAGCGAGCTTTAGAAGCTCAAAAGATTATGTTTATGACCCTCATTGTGAAAACGAGAAGACACCCTCAAAATCGACTCATCACACTAATTGAATTTCATATTAAAGTCGATCCACTTTAAAGATTCAAATTAGAAATTAGAAAACCCGAAAAAAGAAAATTTTCCATCTCGAAATTGATCAAAATCCAAATAGCGATGCAAAAACAACGAAGATTTTACAATCGAAACCTTCAAAATGATTTGATATTAAAGTGTCAGAAAAAGTTAAAAGCATTAAAAGTTTTCTCGGGTCAAAAAGCGATACTTTGTAAAGATTGAAAGTTATTCAAAGGTTACACTAAACAAAGTTGCTCTAATGAAGAGCAACTAAAGTTTCATTTTTAGTTGCTTACAACTTTGATTGAAATAAAATGCATTTCTCCTTGTATTTTGTGATCGCCATTATTATTAATACTATTGTTATTACTTTTTATTATCATCATTATTATCATTATTATTATAATCTATAAAAAAGATAGACTTTGTCAAGTCTGTCAGCATTTATCTTTCACTCCCTTTTCACTGAAAAGTTCACTTTTTTTAACGTTAACATTGAAAAGTTATTATTATATTAACAAGCAAGAATGGAAGGCTAAAATAAGTTTGCTTGTGGTAACAATAAAGGTTTCCCGTGATCCATTGAGATACCTATGATTGGATTAGCGTCAACACCATTGACACATCGACACATCGACACATCACTCCTCTTGCATTTATATCAATACTCTTCAATGGCGATGTCCTTTTAAGACAATCTTTTCCATTCTTTCTCTTCTCACTTCAACTTTTACATTATTTTCTTGCTCTACTTTACCTTTTGTAAATTTCATCTTTCACTGTTTACTACACGACTCATGTTGATCATTACTGTCCAAGGTGATAGTGCCAAGCAAAAAGGATACTTTTGTTAACATTTAACTTTGCAACAGAAGCAAGTATTCTTTGTATTCATAGTTCATTGTGTTGCTCTTGAAATTATATTTTCATTTGTCTAATTGATTGACAACTTTACCTTTAGGTAAGGCAAGTTAAATTGTTGATCAAAACATTTTCTAGACTCAATTTGTAATCCATTCAGCAAGAAAAGAACTAAAAATCTTAGAAATGTCGAATCTATTTCTTTGCAATTCAAAGTTAATCAAGATCTTGAACAGAAATGACTGATGAGCTGAAATCAATGTTTTCTGAGCGCAATTGAAATTGTCGACTTTTCATCAGAAGAGAAGAAAAAATTCAAGTTCGATTGAACATTAATTAAATTGAATAAATTATATTTCACTTTCTATCTTTGAATACTCACTAACAAGGTTTCTTTCCTTCTTACATATCCCTCGATTTTTCCAAAAATTTCTTATTCTAATCAATTCTATTCGAAATCAATTGCAAAATTTATCAGAAAATCGCTCTGAAATGTTCTACAAATTAGAATCGATCGAAATTTTCAGAAGAAGTGACATTCGAAGAAAGATCTTAGCAAAGAGTTAATCTGTTGAAGGCATTTCATTGTTTTCAAGAAACATTTCCTTCTTTTCAGAGTTGACTTGTTTTCATATTAAAATCACTGTAAAAGAACTACAAATGCAAAATGAGGCCAAAAAAGGTAATGCGTTTCAACGGGCGCAAAGTGACATTTAGTTTCTTCCTTTTCCGATGAAAGGAAAATCTTAAACTTGAATGTTATTCTTGACCTTTCCTTGCAATAAGAATAGGTTTGTCATGTCAATACAGCGATTACTATTTGTTTTGTCAACACAACAAATTGACTGCAAATTCATAAATACAATAATAATGATAATAATAGTAATAATATTTATAAATGAAAGGTTAACAATGGCCAAATACAAAGTAATTTTTAAATGTTTACCCAAACCTTTTTGACGTTGATATTGATTTGCATTGGCCAGTTATGATGAGAAGATGTTGGGAGAAAAGAAACGGAAGAAATGCCTTTTTAAATGGTGTTTACTGTTTCCTTTTTGGCCATTCACTATCTTCACCATTCATGACTAGTCAATATTGACCACAATAATGGACAACAATTATTGGGCCACAAATAATTTATTGTAAATCGATTAATATCCATTACAATCCTTTACAATCCTTTTAATACTCTTTCATCTTCTCAGATGATTATATCATTTTAGTGTAAATAATATCATAATTGCCTTCGGTTACCAGGCTGTTGATCATTAGCGGCAATTTATTGTGATTTATTAAAAATCGAAAAATTGGATTATTCTATTGATGAACATTTAATGATTAATTGTCGACTTCTTTTTTCTGTTGACAGATTCGCCAGTCGCTAATAAACGGCCTCGTCTATCGGACTCGGGTGAACAGATTGGAGTTGCAAGTGGTGACTCTGATAATGAAACTGATGAACCTGAAAGTGAAAGCAAAGACTTGGGTGAACTCAGTGATTCTGGTGTTGCCGTTAAGCCGGTTGAAGGGTCAACTTTTGTTACCAATGGTTCATCCGATGAAATGTCACTTTCACCGAAACAAGTTGACAAGGGTAAAGAAGGTTGTGTTGAGGATAAAATTGATATAACCGATTGTAGTCTTGTTGAGAGTAATGATGTTGTTGTTGATCGACCGCCCAAAAGGTCAACTCTTGAAATATTGACTGAACTTTTTCCCATCCATAAACAGTCCACTTTGATTAAAGTGTTGGAAAGTTGTGGTGGTGATGAGGTTAGCGCAATAAAACAATTGTTTAGTTCAATGGCTTCAGCGGTAAACCTTGACTCTAATTCAATGCGAAAGAGTGAACCTTTACCGACCAACAATCTCATCAATAACCATCATTACAACAACAACCATCAACCTCGTCATAATCATTCACCACTTGTCAACAACAATAGCAATAACATGAACAATGGTAAACACGATGATGATCTTCACCAATGCGACTCTTCTGATCTCAACGGCAACTCACCCCGTGATTTATCAACAAATAAAATTTCATCAACCAACTTGACCAAAGAAGATCACTCGCCACCATCTCAACCCTCAGTTCATGCTCATAGTCAGAACCAACAGCATCATCAAGCAAACCTCATTCCTTCCCATCATCATCATCAACACCATCAACAACAGCGCACAACAACTTCACCTTCAAGTTTCTTTAACCATCTAATTCCAGGATTAGTAGAAATGGATCGATCGAATCGTGATCATCACAGACGATCATCGCTAACACCCAGTCAACATGCCCATCAAACTGCTCCTTCACCACCTGAAGGTCTTCACCATCTAGCATCACTTCACCCTTCACTGGCTCCTTTCCAACGAACCCTTCTCAATGTTGGCTCACCTTATGCCAACCTGTTTCCCGGTTTCCCATCAGCAGCGGCGGCAGCGGCCGCTGCTGCTGCTGCTGCAGTATCAGCTTCAGTAACATCTACTGGGTCATCTTCATCTTCATCCAACTCGACCACAACTGTCTCATCAACTGGCACTTACAATCCTTTTGGTTCATCTTCTTCCACTTCAACCTCTACCAATCATCAACTTTCACCACTCAGTCCACCCATAGTCTCACCAGGTTACTCTTCACGAATGGCCTCACTTCGCCTTCAAAATGACCTGTTAGCATTCCCTCATCTACTAGCTCAACACCATCACCATCATCACGCTTCACCTCCACCAGCCCCTTTGACCCCTTCATCAACCAAGAAAACTTCATCTTCTTCCTCACCTCCTTCAATGGCAGCCCGTAAAGCAAACGATTGGATGTTGGACGAAAAAAAAGTCTCTTCAGGTTCACCCCCTCCACCACCACCACCACACACAACCCACTCGACATCATCAATACACTCTTCATCATCTTCCTCATCTTCATCTTCATCAACATCAAATAAACTCGAATAGCAAAAACGGCAAAAAAACCAAATCAACAAAACATTTCCATTTCAATGTAAATTAAACTCTAACTGTTATTAATATGTCGCAAAAGTTGAGAAAAAAAGAAATAAAAAATTGCCAAAAAATTATTGAAAAGTTAGTCAATTTAGCCGAAGAAAAAAACTTCTTAAGTTCATGTTTATCGCTCCTATATTGAGATGAAAATTGGATAAATTGTGAATTCTTTGTATTCCTCCCAATTCTAGAACTTATTTCTTTCTCTATTACAAGAGATGACACATGATGATAATAAAAATAAAAGTAATAACAATAAGAGTAATAAACGATTTCTTTTCACTGGAACGTTATGACTTTTTAATAGTAAAAATTATTGAATGAAGAAGAAGAAGAAGATGGAAAGAAAAAAAAGGTTAGAAATGAATAAAGCAAATAACTTGCCAGATCATTCTTCAAGTTTCTTCTTCATTTCATTTCTATCTCTTCCATACAAAGATAACTGAATATAAAAGGTACATTAATAATGATAAGTCTAATAATATATTAAATATAATATCGTAGGCTATTCAGTCTCTTCGTGGACACTTTAGTTCCTTTCCTTTTGACGCCTCCTTCAATCTTCCCTCCTTCATCATCATCACTCCCAGTCACCAACATTTGATAGGGTCTACTTTGCTTTGACTTTTCCTTGTTTATTATTTATTTTTACCTCAACTGGTCCTCCCAGGCAATAGCCGCTTCAATAGCATTCACTTACTTTTATAAGGTTAATCTAAATTTCAGATTATTTGGCGTGTTTCTGACAAGGCAACAAACACAGAGTCAACCTTTGGTAATAGTTGAACTTATCATTCCAACTTTTTATATTTATTTCATATGGATATTTATATATTTATTTTTATCATTTTTTTCGCTTTCTTTCTTCTTCTTCTTCTTTTTCTTTTCCTTTCCAACACTTTTTTGCTTCATTTTCATTCAACATCTTCAGTCACTTTTAGTTTTCTTGTTTTCTGATCTTTTTGTACTTCATCACCTATAGGACTGGTTATTATGCGATAATAACCATCATCAACATTCACTCTTGTGGACAGTATTTTGCTTGTTCATCCAGACAAGAAAAGATTTATTTAATAGGAATTTTTGGCTTTTGTTTATAACGACATTTGAAACTATAAAGTCAACTGTTTTGGGATTACAGTTGAGGTAAAACATTTGGCTTTTATGGGTTTACATTGAAGCTATTAAATATTCACTTTGAATACCGATTAGTTTTTAAAAGCTTAGATTTGTCTTCAAGTGCTTCGCTATTTTGACTGATAATTTCATGGCTCGATTTTTATGTAAGACCTTACATCTTTGTATCAGATTAAGAGTCGAATAGTGGCATTAAAGAACAATGGAAAATTTTGAAGAAACTTCTTCTTCGCATCTCCGTGTCAAGTCGCGTTCGAAAAGCACAAGCGAAGAGTTTTAGTTGAAGTGAAGGGTTGAGGTTCGGGAATATTAACCCGATTTCGCGAAAATCACAGTCAACTTGATAATTGTATCTGAGACTCTGGTCAGCAATCTCTTGCCATCGCTTAGAACTGACTTATCCATGTTCAAGTACTGTTCTAATAGAACGGATCTCCGTTAGAATTTCAAGTTTCTAGTTTTTAATAGTTGTCGAGCTATTTACGCGATCGGAAAATTGCAAAATCGAAATCATCGTTTTTTCTTTTTGTAAAGTCATTAAAATTAAGTTCAACTCATTAACTGTTCTTTTCATCGTCATTTCATTTCTTTTCGGTAAACTTTTAAAAAACGACAAAACCGTTCATCAATTGAAAATAATGAGAAACGAGTTTCTATTTTAGATTGTTTTTGTTTCAATGGAATTTTTCCCTAATAGAAATTATTTCCATGATTTCTAATCACCTCAAACTATAGAAGCAAATCGATTTTATCATGAAAACTCACTTGCAATGTTAACCTGAAGCTGAACAAAAATCTCAACAGGATTATCGAAAGAAACTGTAACAAGTTGGAATAAATTTTTTCCTCCAAACTCAAAGGTGCAAACATTATGCCAAGAGTTATTTGAAAAGTCGGTCCAAATGAATTAACATGTTTTCCTGATTTTCCAATCAAATTTTGTGTTAATTTGATTCTTTTGTTGAATAAAATTTCTTTTCTTCTTGTTCTCTTTCTTTGTGCAAATCAATTTCATGGTCTTCAAAGATTGAATTAAAAACTGAAATATCTCATAATGACAATAATTACACAATGTAAAGCATGTCAACAGCCTAAAGTTTGTACTTTTATGACAATGAAATCTAATCGTGAAATATGTTAATATTGTGTGAAATTAATAACCTCAATAATACAAGCAACCAACATGATTAATTCAGGCGAGCGTGAAATAGACTAAACGTAAAGCTTAAAACTGACAACAATTGACTTTCCAGATTCACCATTAATTAAAATGTTAATAACTCTCAATCATCTAAATAATAATCTAACTCTTTTCAACCCTTCAGTTGGCAAGCAAAGAAAGAAAAGTAATGAAAAAGCGATTCCAACGAAATGATAATAAAAAGCAATTTTCGAGTTTCATTGTTTTTACCTTTTTATTTACCTTCGAAAAGTTGTTCTACGAAGAAATCATCTTTTCATGTGATTATTGATTCGCTGATTCTGATAATGACAATCACAGAGACTATAATAGAATCACTTTTTATCACATTTATCAACAATCAAGTACAAATGTCAAACTCAGTCCAAGACCATTGTTATGTTTATCCCACAACATTTCAACAATTTACACGCTTGATTCAATACAATGTCTTGTCGATTCTGTTAACTATTTGTGTCCAAAAAAAGAGTCCGAACAAAAGAAGAATATCGAATTTCTTGGAAAAGAAGAAAAAAAAAGTTTTACCTTTTCACAAGTAAAAACTGTTATCAGTTGGACTCGATTGTCCAATATTATCATGTTAATGTAATTAACTTTCATCTTTTCAACTTCACCTAAACTCATCGTAAGTGGCGCTTATCTTGTACAGACTTGTCACTCTTATTTTCAACAAAACTTTTCCTTTCATCAGATTTTTCTTCCAACAAAATTTTCTTCTCTGCACTTTTTTCTTCTTCTTCTTCTTTGCATTCTTACATCAAACCATGATTGAGTAAATGAGAAAATGAAAATTCTCTCATGAAACAAGTTGAATATTGAATGTCTGCCAGAAATGATTTGCCAAGGCGCAAAAAAGTTGGTCATTTATTGAATCAAAAAATGATTGATAAGCTGGGAAGCAACAAATGATCAATAAAGAGCTTTAATATCATAATAAAATGCAAAAATAATCTAACGAAAAATTCCTTTGCCTGACGGAAGAAGAAGATAATTGAAATCAATTTTTACCTAATCTCATTTCCATTCAATTCCAGTTCAGCATCTGAATACAGTTCACATTGAAAATACCCTTTTATGTGTACTTTATAGATTCGAGATCTTGTTTGGAAGAAAAAAAATTCTCTTTTTTCTCTTTTCATCATCATAATCTCATTCCACCAAACAATGATGATAGTGATAATAATGATGGCAATACTTAAATGTTGGTGATCAGGGAAAAAATAGTTTTCTGAATCGTTACGATTAAAACTATTTTTTTGAAAAGATGAAAATAATCTCTTCTTTATAAACATTGGAAATGCATTTCTTCAACTTGACCAAGTCAAATTATTGGTCAATTGAAAGTTTTTCAACCTTTTGTACAAAAATGTATTTCTACAAATTGCCGTATCAATGGACACTTGACAATGGATTTTTGTGTTTTTTTTCAAACTTGCTTACAATAGCATTTTACTTTCAACTTCTTATATGAAGAAAAAAGCTTGAAAACAAAATTAAACAAAACAATTGATCTTCAAGTGGACATAATACAAGCTAATATAAGGGATTAATGACAATCGTTTATACTTCAATGATTGCTCAGTTTAAGCTTTTCAAGTTCAAGTTCAGAGATTAAAGTAACTATTTTTTGTTCTCCTTTTTTTGTCACCTTTCACTTTGGATAAGTGTCTAGGTGTTAATGGCGACATTTGATAATGTTGAAGAGAAATGGAAAATTTTGGAGAAAAGAAGAAGAAAAAATGTCCATTTTATTCTTTCATTCCAGCGATCAGGGAGTTGATCATTATCATAATCAGTGTCATAATCATCATCATTATCATCTTTGAAGGCGTGACAAGGAGTGAGAGAAAAAAGTTGTTTCTAAAAAAACTGTTATTCGCATGTCCACTTGAATGAGAAAAGAGTGTAAAACGCTGAGCCAGAGTAACCTTTCCTATCCATTAAGCTTCATCAGATTAGCTCATTTGATGAGCAACAATGAGAATGAGAATGAAAAGTGAAATCAAAACTTGACCACTTGAAATGTGCCGAGTTGAAGCCTTTTCAGCACTTTGCCTGTTTACGGCTAATGTGTTAAGTGGTTGCCCATTGTAATGCAACTACATTTAGCTTTGTTCATCTTTTCTCGCCTTCTTTTGCGCTTGTTTGTACTTTTTGTTAAACAATGTGAACATTGAAGCCAAATGTGCTAATGGATCAAGGGAATGGCAATGAAAAATGAAATTGATAAAATAATAGTTTCCATAATAGCGAAGTCTATTAATGGTTTCTGTTTTTGTTCAATCTTGTTGGAGAAATGCAAAATTTTATAATTTCTCGACTCGATTCACTTCGATTATTAATAGTCTTTTTTTTGCAAACCATTATTGCTCTTGTCAGATTCACTTTTCAGATATCAAAGGAAGGAAAAACTATTTGTTATTGCTTTTTATTATTGTTATTACAAAACATTATCAATATTATCATTATTTTTTTGCTTGCCTTCTTTGCCATTCAGTTTATAAAGAAAAATTGTTATCTAAATATTGGCTGAAAAAAAGGACTTTGAGTGAGGTCAAGTTGTTGGTGTTCATTGTTTGCTGTTTATAAATGGATATTGTGAAACAAGATGAAAAGGATAAAAAACGATCAAATGTGACAAGCTCAATGTTTGCATGTTGCATGACAAAGTGGCTCAAAATGGTTCCAAGTAGCTTGTTGTTATAAATAGTAGTATTGGTTTGAGGTACAGTTTTACCTTCAAGATAAAGGTGTAAATAGGGTTCACTGATTAACATCTAATCTACATTTATTGCCTTCTTAGGTGATCAGATGTGCGTCGACAACAATTTAATCATTTCCAATCAGTTTTTCTCATCTTTCATCTGGTCAATAGTTGAGTCGAGTAAAGTCCATGTTTTAATGATGACTTCTCAATGCATCTTGATAGGTCAACATTTAATAGTGAAATCTTTTGAGTAATTGTTGACCGAATGTCATAATTAAATTGTTGATAATCAAAGATTTTGAGCCATATTCAGATATTTTTTTCTCAGCAAACTAGAGATCAAATTTATCCATCGTTTTGTCCAAATCGTGATACAATCTGTGATGGTTCATTGAATGATCAGTAGAAAATTCAGTTTGATTTCTTTTCTTAATTAAAGCGAATCATCGAATCAATGAGCTGTAAAAAACATTGAAACTGAAACTAATCATTATTTTGCTACTTGAATCGATATCTGCATTTATGAACAAACTTTTGACTTCGGAAGTAGAGGAATGAAAATCGATTTTAACGGATGCGAAAAACTTTGTTTCAACTTTATGTCGATTTGCAAAAAATGATCGATTTTGATTTAAAATTTTAAGGTTGAAATCTCAACTGACACTTATTGCTCTGAAGTGCAACAATCATAACTTTTGATGAAGCTTTTGTATAACTTTTATAGTTAAATATTTGGCTTTTACTTTGTTTATTTGCACTGTAAAGTAAACTTGTTAATTTGCTTTACTTTTTTAGTTGAATGAAAAAAAGGAAATGTAAAGGTAACGAAATTGTAAAAAGTTATTTACTCATGAAAAGGCAATCGAATGAATGGAAGGGAATTGAAGACGTTTTCATTTTGATAAAAGACCGGAAAAAGATTGTTGAACTGACGCAATTGATTCCTTTAATGTGATAGAGAATTGAATAATTGATGCTACACAAAGTAAGTAGATTGAATAATGATAATGATGGGAGTGATTTGTGCGATAAAGAATATGCTTGAAACTTGAAATGTGACAAACTGGATGACAATGGAATGAAAGAAAGTCTAAAACACACTTTTGCAACATCAATGTTTCACTAATATTTAATTTTGCAATTTCATCAGAACATGGAAACAACAAAAAGCATAAAAGATGATATAAAAAAGCAGCAAATCCATTTAAATAAATATTATACAAATTGAATTAAATAATATGGTAGCGATAAAGATGTGATAGTCAAGTTAGCGATGAGTTTAAGAGGATGCTGATTGATTGTTATTTTGAGAGCAAAGCAAAAAAAAGTAAAACATTTTGCCTTTCTTTTGTCAACTATCAATAGACCTTTCGGTTTGAATAGTGGTTAACGGCCTTATATTGTAGCTTGTGCTTCAAAATTGTCTCCATTCAATGCACATGCATCAAAACATTTTGAGAAACATTTTTACTTTTCCCTTCCATCCAATCAACCAATTTCACTATTCATTGTTTTAAATGCTGTCTAATGCGTTCAAAGTTATTGTAAAATTGATGCACAAGATTCACTAAATATTGATGAATTGCAGTTTTAGAACGATTCAGTTTCTCAGAAATCAAATGTTCTGATCGACCGCCAGCTCGACAATAATTTTATCAATTTCATGCTCATCAAGACTTATCCTTTAACCATAATTTCCGATCAATGATTTTGACTGAAAATCTCGCAACAAAAACTGAAAAAAAAACAAAATAATGAAACAAATGAACAATAATGAATGATATTTCTTGTTAAAACTGCTGAAAATTGATAATAATAAACTCTTTTTGAAACAAAATTTCCTTGATCTTAATCGCATTAGACATTTGGTTTTCCGATGTTAATTATACTAAATTAGGATTAATGCAAAGCTAATTGTTTCAACTTTGCTTAGTTTGTTCTGCTCTTGTATCAATTTATCAAAGTAATCCTTTCACAGCTTAAACTCAGATCTTCAAGGTGAATGTTGATTAGTCTAAACAAATGGGCAATATTCACCGAAGAGAAACATTTTTATTGATAAATTTAAAATCCATTTAAAGGACATTTTTAATAATAAGACAAATTATTCGGTCTCATCAAATTGTAACCACTTCTTAGTGAGACAATGAACAGTTTCGGAACTCTTCAGATGCGAAATCATGAAATTTGACAATCAAATGCTGGTCTTGATGCTATTGAACAGATGCTTTTTGTATGATCACTGCTCATGCCATTCAATGTTATAAAATTTAAAAGAAGCTTGTCCAAGAGGAAGGATTTTACGCTTTTTGAGCTAATCTTGTCATAGAATCTGTTAATTTAATAAAAATATTTCGGACAGTATTTAACTAGCCTTTTAAGGGTAATAATATTGCTGTCAAAAATGAGTGAACCAATAAAAACTGTTGAAAGTAATGATTCAAATAATAAACTGAGGTTTCACGCTTTCAATATTTTCCTGCCTTTTCCTTCCATTCAACAATTTGACTGAATATTCAAGAATTCTGGGAATGTGTTTCTCTCTCTTTTCTATCTTTAACTTTCATTTATTATCAACTTTGAATATGATAATGATGAGTGACATTAACAGTTGATTAAATTTGTGTGCAGAAAAGTTATTAGTTTAATTTCGGTAATAAAGTAAACTCCAATGTTACCAATAATAATCTTCTAATGAGTCTTCTGTCAGTCAAGAATTTTAATGGAATCAAATGAACATCAATTCAATATTGATATACTTTTCACTTTCTATTCAACTTTTTTTTTCTTCCTTCAATTGACAATCCATTGTTTGATCTTATGGTTCAAATTAAAGTTAAACTTTAGTCAACATTTATTCAGCCCTAAAACATTTAAAGAATGCTGATGTTAACCAAAGATATCAAAATTTACAAAAACAATATTTTCCACTCCCAGCATTGAATAGTCGCCAAAAAATAGTTTTGCTTGATCTAATCAAGTTTCACTTGACTTTTCTTCCCAATCCATTGTTTGACTTTTTGCCCTTTTTAGGTTATTTGTTATTTTATTAAAAAAGGTTGATATATTATCATTATAATTATAGTTATAAATGTGATGTCTGACGATGAAAAAATGCTATTATTAAAGGTTTGATAACAGAAAATTAATCTTTCTCATTTTGTTTTCTTCGCCATTTAGATTTAGCTTTTATGATTATATTGTTAAGGTGATGATTATTAAGATCATCTTATTAACTAATAACTCAAATCTTTTCTTTTATCATTCCTTTCTCCCTGTATTCATCATTATTCTTTCCCCTGTCAATGAGTACATATTTTATACTACAAAAGATTACCTCATTTTGGCAAGTTGATTTAGTGTGCATGATGAAGGATGGAATGTGAAAGATCAGTTCAATTGTTTGATGCGATAAAAGATAAAAGAGCAAAAAAGTGACAGAATTTTATTGAGTTTAACAAAAAAAACGCTTCATCAGTATTGATATATTACAAGCAAGAAGCGTCAAAATGAGCAACAAGCTTTTCTCGATTAAACCAGTTTTCAGGTTTAATTTGCTTCTAAATTGGTTTCAATTTTACCATGAAATCAATCTCTTTATAAGCATTGGAATCGAATCAGTAATTAAAAGTGAAAAAGTGTAGCTATTGATCAATGTTGCAGATTAACTTGTATTCAAAGTGGAGTTTGAATGTGAATGAATAGCAATTTGAAAGTGTTAAGTGATTATGAAAAATGTTTGATTCTATTACTTTTGTCAACACTTTTTGTTTGATGAAAAAAAAGACAAAAAGCCATCATTTTCACCCGCAAGGCCTTTGTTTGTCTTCTCACTGATTGGATGTTATTGAATATTGAAATGGAGAAAAAGGAATTTGTTTTGGCAAATGTTGATTGAAATGTGATATTATTTTTGCATGAAAGGATAAACTTGCAAGGTTAGAACCGGTTAAAGGGAATTAATCCTCTTACACGTTTCGACGAGTCTAGTGTAAGGCAAAAGGTTTTTTTTCAACTCTTCTTGAAGACTTCATCACTCGGCATTTGCCTTCTTTACCTTCATTTGTAATTCACTCTTGTTTGTTGTTTCTTTTTCTTTGTCAATTTATCCATTTTTTCAGTTGTTGCTTCTTCAAGCCTTTTCTTCCTTCTCTTCATTTAACTTGTTTGTTGTTTAATATTGTTGATTTTGATGATTGAAAACACTTCTTCATGTAAAGACACTATTTTTTGATTGAGGCTGAAAATAATGGGAAAGGAAAGAGTTAATTCACTTGTTCAACTCTTCAACTGTTGTAAACATTTAACAGACAAATTGTGGTTTAAACATGTCAATAACAGATAAACTTTCATTTTTGTTGTCACATTTTGTTCAATTTGCAATCAACTTTGCTTTCAATTTTTCACTTGTGATTAACATAATCGGTTAACAGTCTGTTTAAACTGACAATGCTTCAAGTAAAATGAAAATAGTTTCATTCTGAGATTCATTCTCAATTCCTAGTTGAACAATTTTCCAGGTCAATAAATTATCAATGAAATGTGTAAATGTAATTGCTTCTTAAGGATGATTCAACGGATTATTGGCTATTAATACAGTAAAGTACCCCATAACTTCAATCATTTGGGTTGAAGAGAGTCGATGCTTTGATGGTTTAATATCCTTGTTAATCAATTTTCATTGTTACCTCTTTAAATGATTAAAAGATTCTGTAGATTCATCATTCAAGTGTTGGTGTTAATGTGATTTTTTTTCAGATTTGATTTTCTTTATTGGACAGGCGGACATTTTGTTACAGAAAATTGTTTACAAATGAATCAAAATCTAAGGACTTTACGATGCACAAGTTGCCAAACATATCACAATGAGCTGACCATCCTTCGAAGTAATGCGAACTTTCGTGTATATTTTTATCAAAATAGTCGCCATCGTACAATCGTTTCAACAGCCTTCTTTTTAACCATTAGTTATTTCACTGTTTATCTTGGTTTTATTCAATATCAACAATCGCACAGCATTCTTTTACCAAAATGGAATAGAATGCTTTTCTTCTTCATTGTGCTGTATTCAACAGTTTTTTCAATTTCAACAATCATGGCTCTTAAACAGCTCCGTAAAGATTATAGAAGATGGAAACAAAATAATCCATCAAATGTGTTAATTTGTTCGTCTTGTATGAATTTCGTTGAAGGTCCAAACCAACAACCGCCCAATATGATTAGCCTACCATCCATTCCGGCTGCAAAAACAACATCAATTGTAGCTGATTCAAGTTGAAGATCAACCAGTCCTTGTCCATGTTTTAATTTAACTTTGATCACAATTTCAAGTCAATGGTTTTTGATTTTTGACATTTTATCAATTACGCCAATTTTACCAATTAACAAGGTATTATTGAGCTTTGTCTAACAATGACGGTTATTTAAATTATTGAAAGTAGATTCATTCCAATGATAATGGTACTCGTGATGATGATGATGGTTTATAAATGAACCATTTTCAGTAACTCTGAGCAGAACGTTGACCCCAAAAAAAAGGAAGGAACAGAAGGAATTGTGAATCATATTGCATTATACTTTAGTTTCAATTTAAATTACACAATTCTTTCTCACTATTTGCATGGATTTTTACATTGTCACATTGAATCAGATCGTTCATGGTGCGAGTCACTCACAGGAATTGATGAAAGCTTGATTGGGATGAACTCTGAATATTTAGATCTGAATAATAATAAAAATAGCAGCTCTTTGAAGCGCGCTCAGCGCAAAATCAGCTATCAGTCTCCATTTTAACCGAGTTGTTTTTCCCGTTTTCCTCTTTCAGCCTGTTGATTAACCTTTTAATATTTCGACGCTTGTTTGCGACTAATGACAAGTGAAACCAACCATCTAAACTGGAGTTAGAGATAACTTTTTCAAGTAAATTTCCAGGATTCTGTGAATGTGAAAATAAAAATGTGTCATAAAAACGAGCATTGGATTTTTCATTATAATTTACCCTTAGGAAACTTTCAACATATTGTAGGACATAAAGACCACAGTCAGAGTGATTATTTTGCTTGGGCACCTTCAAATAGTATTCTGGCATTACGTGGCTACTGAAATTTTTTTTCGTCTTCTTTTTAAATTCCCATTCTTTGGCTAGAAAATGCCTGATTGGTTCAGCTAGACGGTAGCGTCTGTTAGCTCCTTGTAATGAATCCATAAATAAAATACAAGGCCTGAGGAAAGAAATGGAAAAATGACAATGAATATTGAGTACTAATAATTTTGTGATTGTGTAGACTTGTCCATGGAAACGTAAACTGTACCTCGTAGGATTTTTTTCAATCTCAATGGGCAAAATTTCGTCATGGTCAGGTACTTTTTTTGGATAACAAATGATTGCCAGAAACCAATGATATGATTTATTAATTGGAATAATTAAATAATCTTTGTCAAATATATCAAGATTTTTTGTCCAGTTTTTAACCCTGTTGTAGTATCTATCAGCAATATTTGTTCTGCGGAAAGATGAAAGATAAAAAAATCAGTTAGTTAAACAAATCCATTAGATTTTTGTTTGCTCTGAATAGATGTGCAGTTTTGAGAATGAATCGGCCTGAATATCAGGAATTGATTGTGTTGATAAAAAAAATTGTAACAACATTATTTATACTGCAAAGTAAAATGCACAGATCCCATAAATGTTTAAAACTTTATCTTTGTAACTATCCTTTTTCATTTCTTCATTTTACTAATCAAAGTATCAATAAAGTAATTGAGAAGCTAATGTTTACTAAAAATCGGTAAAGTTCAAAGAAATAAAAATAAATGTTTAATTCTTTGATACTTTTGTTTAGTGTATCAGCTTGAGATATAGAATAACTTACGATAGCTGTGTGTCCTCTTTCCGAGATTTAGTTAATTTGACATAAAAAAATGTACTAAATATATAAGTCCTTCCAGCAATACCCGGATCGGTTAAATGCCTATGGATATATCTGAAATGAGAAAAAAATGAAGTTAGAAATCTGGAAATCAGTTGATCGTGTCAATACTTACTTTAAATGGAAGCCTAATATTGTATCAGTGAGAAATTCACCTTCTTCTAGACAGGTGAGATCTCTTTTATAGATGGTGATACTATCACTTTCTCCAGGTGGGTAGTCCAAGACTATGTCACTATCACTGCTAAAAAATGAAAATGAAATAAGAAAAATTATCAAAATGGAAATTTAGCTTTTCAAATTGAAAAATTTACCATGATGTTCCTGAGGCATTAAGGTTACTCTGATTTTCGGTATCGTCTTCATCATCTATTTCGATATCGATGATAGAAGGTGGGTCATTTGAACGCAATCTTTGTATATTGAGTTTAGGCCTAAGGGATGAAGGAGTTTTAGGAGATGAGGTTCTACTGGGATGCATTTTGGGTAGTAAACTTGAATATGTTTTAGTTGAACGATTCAAAACTGTTGCACATTGGATGATCGGATCATCATTCTCCTTGATTAAGTGCTCTACAGGTGGGGTTGATGGCGGGGTTGATGGTTGAGGCTGAGGCTGAGGTGATGGTGGAAGTGGAGATGATGGAGGTGGAGGTGATGATGAAGATGGTGGCGTTGATGATGGAGATGGAGACGGAGGTGTTTTTGGTGTTGCAAGTTGCTTATACAAATATTCCAAGTATTCAACAACTTCTGCAGATTCAATAATCTCGAGATCCCAATCTAAATTTGTAAAAGCGGAAAAATATTGACTCAATTGCTCCTGAACTGAACCACTTTCGTCGCCAGCGAATTGGATAGTAACTCGAATTGATTCCTCTGAATAAGTTAACGATAGAGTAGACAAAAACAATAATTAGACATTAATAATCACCAGTAGAGAACAAAGGTAAACAATAAAACAGAAAGAATCGGTAGGACAATATTCAATATAAATAAAAAAGACTGACAAAAGACAAGTTAAGTAATGGCTAATTAGGAAGAATTTAGAGGAAAAAGCAACATTATGATCTATTAAGACAATGAGAGAGGAAAAAGAGTGTGAAAAGATAAAAAGATGATGGAAGATGAGACGGAGACAATTAGCAGGAATAATAACCTAAAACAAAATTTCCTACAAAAAACGCATGTAAAGCATGAAAGAAAGGTAGAAAGAGAGAAAGAAAATGAGGTAAAAAAATGAAAGAAATGACAAGAGATGGCAGTTGATCAATTGGTTAACAACCTGGAATCCTCGTTTAAATGTTAATTTGCACATTTTTTGTCTTTAAATCATTTTAGAAACTGAAAATAATTAACATGAGATCAAAAATCCAACTGTGTCATCTCTCTAATTTTACATACCTTCAGAGTATTCATCAGAGTGATTTACATTAGGTTTCAACTGAAGTGCTGCACAAATTTTAGAGCCAGAATCAGGAACAGTTTTGATTAATAAAGTTCGACAGCCGACAACTAAATCAGGACAGAACCATGCTTGTTGAATATCCGTTGGTGGAATGGTTATATTGAAACGCGAATTGTCTCGAGTCAAGGCGACCTTATTAAATTTAAGACCATTGGTTGCCAAACTAATATTCTCACATACAACTCTATGAGTACCAAAGAAAACATTTCGAATATTCAAGATGATTTCTTCGGGAATCGGATCAATATCCATAGGAAGTTTAGATAAAAAAGTAATGGAAAAGGGAGAAAAAATAATTGTTATGATTACTTTTACTTAAGGTAATGTTGAAGATGAATTTCCTTGATTATCATTTACACTGATAGAAGATGAAAGCAGGCATTAAATACGAATATAAATAACAGCCAAAGTATATCAGCTAATTAACGATAATTGAATAAATTTATGAAAATAATCAGCACTAAAACAATCTCGTCTACTTTTGGCCGGATTCAGTGTTACCAGGACAACCCAATGAGCTGCCATATGTTTATTTTTATTGTGTTGCCATCTATCGAGTCTAGGGAATATCTCAAAATGTGGAGGAAAAATTTCGTGATTTGTCATACATTTATAAATTCAATTATTCAATTGAATGTTGTGATTGACACTTTTTCATTTATTCAACTGATTGCTCGTCTAACAATTTTACCAAACGTTTTTTCTCCATTTCAAATTAATTTTTAATTGTTCTGTACTGGAACGAGCTGCGAACGCCTCTGTGTACTTCTTAAATCCGTTGATAGTGATTTAAACTGCATAAATCTAACCTATTCTCTCATTAAATTGTTTCTTTTTTTGTTAATTTTTATTCAATATGGACACTATTGATTCAGCTGCCTCTGTTAGTGAACCGGCTAACATTACATTTGATGATAATGATGTTTTACCTAGTCAACCTGATGAATCCACAAAGGTAAGCTGAGTCAACATTTCCTGCTCTTTCCATAGTTTCTATTCTCATGAAAATCTTCTCTAAATTTATTTTTCCTTCCTGTAATAGGAGACTCATCCAGAGGATCGCCAATCACCTGAATCATTATCCCATATCTCTAATGTATCTACCAGTTCATCCTCTGATATTGCACCGGAACCTTTCCAGCCAAAATTTAAAGTCAAAGTGTCTACTAACAGTATTACCAAAGATGGCGAAAGCGTTATCTACACCATTTATACTAAATCCTTGGAAGGAGATTCCGAATGGAAAGTAGAAAGAGTCCATGACGATCTACAACAGTTACACCATAATTTGATGGCTACAGTAGCTCCTGGATTCGGATTGATTATGCCACCATTACCTGATGAATCAGTGACCCATCCATCACAAGCTCAAGAAAAGAGTAGGGAAAAATTGGGACCAAATACTAACACATTAATTGGTGATGAATGGTACAAAGATTGTTGGCAAATTCAAGAATATCTCAGATTGCTATTGAACCATCCAGTGTTTGGTAGTGATCCAGCTTGGAACCAATTTCTATGTTCCGTTAATGCACCACCACGAGTTAAATTACAGAAAACGTCAAACATTTTGGGAAAATTATCTGAAAATATCGATTCTCGTGGTAAATTAACGCATAAAGATTGTGAAGAGTACTTTCAAAGGGAACGCGATTGGGCTAATCATTATGCAAATGTGATTAAATTAACTTCCAGAGCCTTTAATTGTATTGTTAATGCCAGATTAAGTAAGTGGACTCATCTCTTAATTTGCATCACTTTGACTCTATTTTTTAATCCATATTCTCAATTTTCATGTCAAGTCAATCCAATCTTCTTGAGAAGGTGTCAATTTGATTTCTACTGTAACTTGACTTGATGCGCTTAGCAAAACGCCCCTAATAACGCCCTTCATTGTTCTAAATTTTATTTAAGTCATTATATTGAATATATTTTTGTGGTAAAACAAGTAAATTAAGTTAAAATCTGATAGATTAATTGACACTTTCATTCGACAGACTAGAAAACTTGTGTGAAACGAGATAATTGCAAACAAACAATTCTTGATACATCAAGAATAAATAGATTTTTGATATTTTGATAAGTTAAATATAGTCAGAATCACTCATATTCTTGTTAATTTTGTTATATATTCTCATAATATGTTTATAATTGATATATGATTAACAGTTTTCTTCTTCTTCATTTTCATTGATTAATATAACTTTTGGTCATTTCCATACCACCTTGAGATGATCTTGTATAGCCAGAGGAGGAAATGTTGCTTATTTTAAGGATTACTGATAAAACCGATAACTGTGATTATAATGATGATGATCTTCATCATGAAACTGGACAGATGAGAATAGCAAGAGAAAGTAGCAAATTGGGTAATGTGTAATCATCGTCTAATTACACTAATGATGATGATAATAATGTTTTGTGCATGAGAAAGTTACCAATTTGGTTTACCATTCAATGTGACAGAGAACCCAATTGAGAACCCAAAATGTCAATAATTAAAGTGGAATCAATAACTGGCCGTAAGGATGAATCCAGTTTGTGTGAGAGAGAAAGAAATTGCTCATAAAATTAGAATAATTCATCGTAAATCAGCTTTGTTATATTTAATCGTAAAATAATCAGATCATGTTCACTCTGATTACATTTTCCAATCATTTTGTTCCCTTATACAAATGACAAATTGACAACCAACTTAACAAGCTAATTAAACAATGTTGGTAATAATGATAATAATACCACCCAGAACCATTCCTTATCCTCCTCTTTTTCATCTTAATTCAATTCCAGTCCAATTTTCAATATCATGATAATGATTGTTGAAGTGCTTTTTTACAATCAAAAAAAACACTCAATTCTTAGCTAAATCAGTTTACAATCTTCCCAATCCTGGTCCAAACTCACCACCAAGATTCATCATTTCTCCTTCAAATTTATCACATTTTTTATTTGTTTAATAATAGTTTTCACCAAATAATTCAATTGTTGTCTGTTAATCAGTTTGTCGATTAACACTTGCTCAAGTGTTTATAAACGGCAAGCAAAAACAAAATCCATTGGGTTAGCTTGATGAAATAACGTTGAATAACTTTTCTCATTTTGTTTGCTTCATTTACACTCATTGATTAACTTGCACTGTTTACTTATCGGTTGACTGGGAAATGTCCATTTTTCAATTGCACCTCCAAAAATGGTAACAATCAACTTGATTACTTACCCAATTTGATGAGTCTGTTGACCAATAGCTAAACTCATTGTATTACCCAAATAATGCATTTCAGCTTCTTATCTCTTCTTGCATTCAATTGGCTTTACAATGCAATAATTTGGTACAATAGTCTTGTCCCAAATAGCCATAAATTATAACTACAAATTATCTTATAAAATGATCTAACAACATGTTCATCATTATCATAATGACCACCAACTTTCCTCTAAAACTGTCCAAAGGGCAAAACCTCAACACTAGCCATTCAACTTAATTATGTTAAATCAGCTCAATTAAAGTCTGTCCAACACTTCACTTTACAACATTTGCAGCAATAAATTCAATACAGTGTTTAAAGTAAACCTAAATAATGAATTTCTATTTTCCATCAAAGTGTTTTTTTTGGCAGAACTGATCATTATCATGAACCAACCTTGACTTCAAGGGTACAATTGAATTTCCGTTGTTTCATTTACTCAAATTAGCATGCATTTCGCTTCCCTTATTTTTCATGTTTTTATGTGTTGATAGTTTTAACTGGTTTACCAGTCAAGTAGTCTAATTATTTCTGTAATGTCCACTTTTGTTGTCTCTTATGTTCATTGAAATACTTTTCTTACTCAACAATGATATGAAATTGAATGGTCAGTTGAATGTTCATTTTTGGTGCATCTTCTTGCTCTTGTTAACACTGATTCCGTTATCTGATTTGTCTCATGTTTATGTAACCATTTCATTCAATTACTCTTTTACCTTTGCTTCTCAATTGCAATTGAAAATTAACTTAAAAAAGTGGTTATTGCACTTTGAGCTTCTTCCTTAATTCATTATCAATCACCTTCTCAATTACCTGTCTTAATATACTTCTCATTGTGTTAATTATCCATCATTATTAGTCAATTGTTTTCATTACAATATTTGAATGGTTCCATCACCAAGCAAAAGTTAATTTAATTTCTTTCAAGGCTTAATTTATATTCACCAATTTGAATCAATTTGCAAACATTTAATGCTGATATTATGCAGAAACAAAAGTCGATTGAACCCTAATAACAACTGAATTTAAATTTTCTCTCTAAAATCAATCTCAACTAATTAACCAACTCTTTTGAGGTTTAGTCAATTAATAACCTTTACCTGTTAATTGTTTTTCATTATCCAACTCAGTTTCTGTTTTTAATGTTGCTCTTATTTTACCTTTACCTTGCAAGTTGAAAAACAAAAAACACAATCCATTCAACTCTATCCTTTAATTCATCACCACATTAGCCGTTAATTGTTACACATTCATCATGATTATCACTTCAACTCTTTCTCTATTCATCCCTTTTCTTCACCCTGATCATTACTGAATCTTGAGTCTTTTATTATCGTCAACTTGGCCCTAAATTAGTAACAGTAGACACTGAAAATGGGTAAAAGAAAGCAAATTAATAAAAGCGTTAATCAGTTATTTTTGCCTCCAAAATTTTTCTTTTCAAGTTAAATACTCTTTAAAATAGATTCTCTTTTTTTCTGCCAGATATTAATGCTTCTTTTAACCAGATAATCACCTTTTTTCCCAATGAATTCAAGTTTCAAATGATTACTCTTCGACTCTCACCTTACCAATCTTTTCATCAGTTGACTTTTGTTTTTCGCCTCTTTTCATCATTTAACCTTTTTTGTTATTTTACCCACGTTTTTGACAGCATTGTCATTTTACAAGAGTTTTCAATCAATTCAGATAACAAAGATTATCCAGAAAAATACCTTAATTACCTGTGTTTCATCGAAATAATAGTTTAAACTATTGATTGATGATTTAAGTAGCTATTGTCAAACAGTTTATGCATTACAAACCATTCATTTGCAGCTGTTACCTTTAAATGGGAAAATATTACTTTTCTAATCTCAACTTTACTCCCAATCACCAAAAATCATCACCAGAATCTTCCTTTTCCCTTCAACCTTAACTTTCTCTAACTTCATTAACAGCGAACAGAAAATACATGATAAGAAACAGGAACATTTCATGAACTTTCCTTTTCCACATAAATCACCTTTTCAATTTCAAGAGATGAACATTTGTAAAGCTCAAATCTTCTCAATTAACTCCGATTTTTAGATAACTTTTCTTAGCTGATTAAACACAAGATCTAATCACAATCTTGAATCTTTTTAATTGTTAACAAAAAATCTATGATTCTAATTCTCAGTGTTTTCATGATGTGCTTTGGAATATCGAATATTCTCTTTTTTCTGAGTTTTACATATTTTCTGTTCTCATCAAATATGAAATGAATCACAATCAATCAAATGAAGCGCAACATGAAGTATTATTATATTAAACAAAAGTAGATAAAACGAGAATCCAAATTGAAGTATTATCATGTTGATGGGTATTATGATGAAATGATAAATAATGATATTACTGAATCTCTTTTCATCCTCAATCATAATTATTATAAATAATTGATTGAAACGGAAATGATTTATAACTGGACTTGAAGGAAGTGCAAATGAATTTAAATTGAAACTGAAAGTTGGCAAAAGAATTGAAAATAAAGGCTTAAAAAGAAGCTGAAAATGTATATAATTAAGCCAATTATGGTGATAAAATGAGGATAAATGATAAGAGTCTACTGTTAAACTGTGTCATTGATTGTTTATGCAATTGTTTGATTAATTGTAATTTAACAGAATTTTCGCAATTCTCGCGTTAGAACATTAAGTGTCTATTAGTTTCATCATTTACTCACATTCAACCATCATTATGAATCAACTCTTGTTATTACAAAGATTTTATCAGATAATTTCAATTCACCAATCCTATGATTAAATGTTAACCCAAAGAAGTGCTGAAATGATGAAAACTTTATCACCAAAACTTCATCAAGGTGCGGCTCTAATCTTCACATTAACATCTTTTGAATTATTTTTAATTGCGATTCCTTCATTAATGATATGAATAACAATACTAATGACTTTTCCATTGATTCATCACATGAAGAGTAGCCTGAGAAAGTTTGAAAAAATCTGGAAATGATGAAAATTCTGAGATTCATTTTGACTTCTCAATTAGAAAAATAAAATACGAAATTAACTGTTTTACTGATTGATATTCAAAGTATTTCATGAAAAGTGCTTTGAAATTTCTTGCTATTTCTTGTTCGTAATTTCAAATGTTCAAAATTGTTAAAGATAAGATTCAAGAAATGGAAAAGTTCTGAAACTTATTTTTAGTCAGAATTTGTTCTTTGAAATTCATCAATCAATGTTCAGTATTTTCCACTTTCTAATTGAGACAATTTTATCGTTTTCATTCACTTTTCTCATTAATTTTTGAGTCTATTTTCTTAATCGAATCAACAATAAATTTTTACAATTTAACTCTTTTTTTAATCGATTTAGCTGATTGATCAAATTGAATTGAAAATGTAATACATTTCAAGGTTCAAACTGTTTTATTTAACATCAAATAATTCAATTTATTTACTTTCAACAATTGATTTTCCAAACTTTTTCCAGTCATTTCCATGTTTATCAATTTGATATTATTTCCAATCAAATAACAATTATTATAATGGTCGATCAATCAAACTGACCCTCAGGTCTTCCTTCAAGCCAAACTTGTATCTCTTTAAATGATTTCATTTCATTTGGATTAGTTGGTTCCTTTAATTGTATTTGATCAGAAAAACTAACAACCTTAAAGCTAACTCTTAACCAATATTTTCTTTAATCTTTTTCTTACGGCAATCAGTCGATAACTCACAGTTTGTCAACAATTAACTGTAAAAATAGCTTTAAATAGTAAATAAAATTTCAATTTTGTATCATTTCAGAACTCTGTGGATCTCTGTCTCACCTATCAACAACATTAAACTTGAATATTCCCGGAAGCAATGAGAGTCAATTCAATCGTCAAGCCATGAAATTAAGCAACCTGTTCTCAATTGCCATTGATGACTATAAGGTAAAATTGTTGGTCCAAAAAATTAAATTCAAACATTTGCACCTTTGAATCTTTATTCAATATCCATTCAACAACACATGAACCATTCAGTTCTTGCAGACAGACAATTAATTTAAATAAATTAGTCAACAATTGCTAGGAATGATGAGCTTTTTTAATTTTCATAAATCTGTTTATTCACTCATAACAAATTGACTTGCAAAAAGCTCTGATTAACCCAAACTTTTCATCAATTCAATGTTAATTAGAGAGGATTGGAAGTGATCAATTATAATGATGAAGCTACTCTTGGCTCTAGTCTTGACTTATGGTCTCGCTACATGGAAGCGGAAAAAGAAATGCTTAACCGTCGAACTGGTTTGATGATTGAATATGAAAAGTCCAATCGCAACCTGGATAAGGCCAAACCTAATAAAAAAGATGAGGTAAGTTTAACGATCAATTCATTGTAACCAAGTTATTCACTGGAAATCAACCAACTCTTAAATTGCAATTTATGAGTTTCGCATCAATATCGACATTTTTGGCAATTTAAACATTTTGTTATAAATGTTATAAATAGTCGGAGTGATTAAAAAGAGCACTTTTAATGAACAAATCATAATTGAATATTGTCAAACAATATTCAAACTTTTACTTGAAAAAATCATTTTTTCCTTTTCCCTTTCATTATTGGTTCAATTATTGACTAATTGTTATTGATGATAAATGGCTAAACGATATTCTGAATCTATCTGAATGATAAATTTACTCACACGGAAATCAATTCGGAAGTTAATTCTTTCTCTTTTTTCACCAAATTTGCTTTGAGCAATATTTTCACAGTCTTTAAGTTCAATCTTTGAGTTTGTTACATGAAAATCGATGTCCAATTATCAAATGTAATTATTTTTCAATATAAAATGTGGCCAGGGTTTGGATGAGAAATGTGTTTTTCCTCTTTTGGCTTTCACCTTGAGGCATTTCGACCGATATTTTGTCCAGATTCACTTAACCCATTACACTAAAGATACTTGAATAGTTTCCATTTCACTCGATATCATTTTCACAGTTCTCACCATAAACAGCTTATTGTTATAACATAACGTTAATATCAATCCAACACTAAATTGATGAAAATTTATATTTATAAATTTCCACTTGAAAAGGTTAAACTCATTGAATTTTTATTTGTTTTTTCCCTTCAACTCTTATAATCTAAATTCAATCAAACTTTTGTAATAAATAAATTATTAATTATGCAGAAATTGAAGCAAAAAACATTAATAATAATGTTCTGTCAATTATGGTTCAACTATGAATATTGATTCAATTACAAAAAGTAAAAAAGATAATGTTAATACACTTTTAAGGCAATATTTACATTTGATGGAAACTTGAATAACCATAAAAACCTTTCGTCTTTCAAAGAAACCTGAAGATTGTTTTTCATTTAAATTGATTTTACTCTTGTTTGCCTACTTTCTTGGTGATATTATAAATATTATTTAATATGATGATTAGCTTCAAGTTGATTTCATGTTGATAGTTAAACATGATAACATAATAATGTTTACAGGTTAAATTTGAGGTTCACTTTGCATGTTTACTGTTGAAATTTCTTCTCTTTTGATTTTTCATTCTGGTTAGTTGATTATTTTGAGCCTGAGTGTCTGGTTTTTCTGGTGATGATAAAAATAATGATATCCATTGACCTCCTACGATCAATGTTACCTTATCCTGGGTGCTTAACAGGAACCATCACAAGAAGCTGGTAAGCACAACAAAAAATGAACACTTTGCGTGTGACCAGGTCAACATTCGGGTCAACCCTCAAGCCAAATTGATATACTCAGCAAATTTCACTCTATTCTTATTCACTTATTATTATCGGTAGGAAAAAAGTCTTTTAATCAGAATAAGTCAGAAAGAGTAACTTCTAATCTAACCTTTCATCATTTGATAATCTCATCTTAAATAGATGTCATCAAACCTGAAACAAATAAATCAACATTTCACCGCATTTGGTTAACTTGATTTCAATTAACATGAAAACACCAAAAATACCAGTCTCTTTGAAAAGACCTGAAAGACTATCAAATGATAATCATTGTTATTAATCATTTGTCCAACAATTTAAAAGAAAATCTTTAATTAGCTCAAACATATTTTTCATTATTAACGATTCAACAATCATTAGACATTTTCATTTCCTAAAATCATTCATTCTCATTCAAATGCTCAATGTTGATTATTTTCATCTCTTCTGATGTTTCATGTTTGTCAAGCGAAACCAGTTTCTTAATTGTTGTGTTTTTAATCCAATTGTTATAAACTATTCTCTTCATGAATCACAGCCAAATGATACACTGTTTAAGCTTCTAGGTTTGGCTGATTATCTGGTCAACATGAAATGTCCACTAAAACCCGATTATCAGTCACGATGTAAACATTTAAATTGTGCATAATTTGAGTTGAATATTATTCCAAATTCAGTGAATTGACTTTCCTTTTTGATCTCTATTTTTGTCCTTTTATCAACATTTTTTTACCAATCATTTGCTATCTTGAGGACTTTGAATGTTGATGTTGACTAATGCATTTCATTGCCTGTAAATCCATACCTGATGATTTATCAATACTGGTTCAGTTTGATGACTATTATTATTTCCCTGTCATTGTTATCTTTAATACCGGTTGCTTAGTTTGTGATTGACTAAATTGACCAATGTTACCCTTAAATCAGGTTATCAGGGTCATTCAATTGTCATAACCAGTTGAAACATTTTACATTTATTCTTGATGATATTCCGATAGTTAATCAATGATCAACTTTTCATTGGTATCATTTGGCACCTTTGAACTTTCCAAACCTTCTCACACTTGATTCCTAGATGCAACTATTGTCAAAAACCAGATTTTCAATAATTTCAAAGTTCTTTCAAACTCTGATTACACGATATTACCTTTCCCATTTTATTGCAAATATTAAATATGATTATTACTATCACTTTTCATTGTTATCAAAGCCATAAAAGGGTAATCATGGCAAGGTTACCAACCTTAAACAACTTTAAAATCATTTTATCTTTACCGCTTTATTCAATTCGATTTCCGGTTTCAATTCTTGATCAGCTAATTACAATTTTACTGATCATTTTTTTTCTTCTCCTCAAATGCTTTGTCTATGATCATTACAAGGATATCTCACCTGATATTTTACACTTTCTTGATTAAAGCAACCTTCTTATGGTCACGCTCTAATTGTCAGATTATTTTCATGATAAACATTGAAAACAAGTCGCCAAATTGACTAAAAAAATACAAATACGTAACTTGATTAACTCGTGATTGACTTGATGTGGGCAATCCTAACAATAGTTGCAAGTTGAACAAAAGCAAGTCTCAATCTTTCTCATCTTTATCATCCTCTAAATTTGCTCAATTTGTTGATGAAAAAATAGCCAAAATGAGTTTCCTTTCACTTGACCATTCACCATCATGATCATCATCATTTTACTTCCATTATTTTCCTTTCATCTAGATAGTTAACTTGAACACTTTTCATGTTTTCTTATTGTTATTTTTCCTGTCCTTTAACTATACTTTTGTCCACATTTATAAATAACTATTGAATTGTTTAGACTTTCACCCAAAAAAGCAAGAAATTAGATTATAATTAGTGGTCAAATCATTTGTTAATCTTGAAAAATTAAAGTTAAACATAAAAGTAAAATACAAATGTGAGTCAAGTCTCATGACTTTCAATGAAAAGAGTTACATCAATCTCAATGTAAATTGTTTACAATTAACTCTTAAATGAGCTTAATTTGTTTGACATTAACAATCAACTTATTAAATTTGCTAAATACATCATCAATTTAATACTCGACTTGTGCTCTACTTTCATCTGCGTCACTTTCGTCCTTTTCATTCAAATGATTAAAGTGTTTACAATTTTAGTTAAAGTTGAAGCTCATTTGATCAATATCATTAAATTAATAACCTTTTCTTCCTCTTTTCTTTCAGGCTGAAAAATCTAAATTTGAAGCAGAAAAATTGTTCGAAGATTGTTCAGATATTGCTCGTCAAGAGGTAAGAATTGGCAAAAAAAAGTTCAAATCAACTTCTCAATTTGGTTTAAACTTTCACGCCAAATGAGATTATTTTTGTTAAATCTTAATCATATTCAACTTTACAGATTAAAAGGCTTCATAAGGAACGAACCGGTGTTTTATTATCAGCCATCAGGAAATATTGCCAATCCCAGTTGCTCGTTAACAAAGACATTCACCAATTACTTTTGATTTCTTATGAAAATTTGAAACAATTTCGGATCGAAGCTTATTGAAACTGGAAAATTAAAGATTCAGATTAATCTGCTCATCTCATCAGTATTGGTTCATAATCTCCCAGGGATTCACATTGTTCTTCACCATATCAAATGAATCTTCAGAAATGGTTTAAACCGAAATCATGGTTTCAGTTTGATAAAAGAAACGTTGAAGCAAAGCTTTTACATTAAACTTTGCTTCAACAGTAAAAATTAATTTTGTAATTTAATAACTTAACTATCGGCAATAATTTACTAAATCATCTTTTACTATTACAATTATTTTCTTTATTATATTATGTTTATCTTAATTGTTACAGAATGAGAAAGAAAACTGGAAAAATTTAAAATCTCAACTTTTACTGGACATCTCTTGTAAGTCCACTTTCTTGTTGTCTTTTACTTTATACTCAACATTTGTTACCATTGATCTGGTCTTTTGAGAAATTCAATTTTCTCTCATTTTCTATCCTCAATAAATCAAGAAATTAAATGATTCTCATGTTTATCCGATAAAAAGAGTTCAATTGAGAGATTTCAATGGAAATGAAAATTCTGGTAATTAGTTGTTTACCATTGAAAGTGTTTAAGTAAATGGCAGTTAATTATATTATCAATTGTTGCGTCAAATCTGATTAATGTCTCTTGTCTTCTGTTTAGGTAACAATTAAATATGATAATTAAACAAATGAGTGTTTTATTGAAGAGGAACGTTTCGCTTAACCAACAGAAGCAACACCAGAAAGGGTCAGAGTAAAGTTCATGAGTGCATCACATTGCTTCTTCCGGGTTATCCTGTTCACTGATAAATAGAGTCAATTTCATTGCCATTCAAACTTGTACTCTCATCAGTTATCAGTTATTATCAGTTCACAAGGTAAACATGGAGAGAAGAGCAAAAAAAAAGTTGAAAGAAGACAAAAAATGAAAAGCAAAATGAACAATATTCAGATTAGATGTTTTCGCGTCACTCAACTGTAACTATTTTCACTGAGCATTTCAAAGTATTGTTTCTTAAATGATTTTTCATGACAAATGGAAAACAAGAATTGGAAGAAAAAAAAGTGTCGACTTAATCAACTTGTCACTTTAATTAGCATCAAAAGTAAAAGTACTTGAGAAAGTTCAGTTATGTGAAAATTCAAATTTCTTCTCATGGAATCCATGACAAGGTGAAAACTTGAAAAGTCTCAAAATTCTAGAAATGATCAATTCTGAATTCTTGTAACTTATGCTTTTGAAACTCACTTTTCTGAATTCAAAGAGAAATTTGTTTTTTAATAAAATTTTCTAATTTCTGTTCAATTGTTCAATGAATTTCATCATTTCTGGTGAAAATTTTCTTCTAAAATGATTCTTCTTTGCTCTTTGTTGCTGTTTGTTTTCAAGTCTTGTTTTAAAGAACAAATTATTTCATTAATTTCATTCTATTCATGTTGATATTCATTGAGTTCAGGAGGTTTTGTTTTTCCCTCTTGTTCTAAATCAGAACTCGGAAGAATAATCTTCGAACTCTTTTTTTTCCTCTCTCATTCATTTCAACTTTAAGATGTCAGTTTAGAGTTACTTTTATTGTCATTAGTTTTTTTTTCATTATTTATTATTAAAACGATTGTATGAATTGAGATGAAAAGATGATATATATAACCAGGGAAACCTTGAACTTTTGTTGAAACTTTTGTTTATTGGAATGATAAGGAAGAGGAGGAAGATGAAGGTTAGGTGAAGATGGAGATAATATGTATTGGAGTTAATGTTCATTGTAATACAAAGTGACTTGAGTTGCCAATTTTATAGACCATAACATCTCATATATTGACATATTAAACGTCAAATATCATCTTTTCATCATCATAATCATTTTCACCATTATTTCCACTTTTCATCCTCTCAATATAAACAATTAACAATTACTCAATTTGATGTTCAGTTTTTTTTCTCATATCAATCTTTATCTTAATGGTTTCACACATAACTGAGATTCAATATATTGGTCCAATTTTTTATTCCAATCATGATATCATTTGGTAAATGGTTCAACACTGAAAATGACCATTTCACTTGAACTTGAAATTGTTCAACATTTGTGTTTGTCGCCCAAGCTTACCAAGGTTAACCTTCAAAGCTGAGTGAAAATGGTTGACAAAAGACTTGATGAAATGTTTGAATTTTAGTCATCAAACTGTTATTTAAACTGATTTAGTTAGTTCACTGTAATTATGCAAAACCCGATGAAGTCTTTTGACTTAATCAGCTCATGTTTAAATCAACTAAAGTGAAGTGTTTATTAGAATCAAATCAAGACGAGATTGTCATCTTGCTTTAGACAGTCACAGCAAATGAATCCGAAACTTCATTTTTGATTGTTTCAAAGTTATGATAATTTTGTTTGCTGGGAAAAATTTGAGAAATTTCTTGATTTTCTCTGAATTCCTCGAAATTTTCTCAGAGAAACTGAAGAAGATATTGGTCAAATCAATGAGAAAATTTTGTTAATCAGATTCGCATTTTCATTCAACTATTAGAGGGGTCATGAAGGAATTGGATTGAAACAAAGAGCTTTTTTTAATGCAATTTTTTGAAAAAGCAATCTAAAAATACGATTTTAAAACTGTTAAACTTTTAAAAAATTTCTTCGTCTATTTTGCTGACTTTATGAACAACTTAATGGAAGCTGATTAGAAATAAAACAAAGTTTTTTTCTGATCAAACAAGATTTACTTAACCGTGTTTCCATCTGTCTCAGGTTTCGTTATAAATGCAAGAGTAACCATCAAGAAATCGCTCTACAATGTATTTAAACATATTTGGGATCGACTTTTTTTCGTCAAATTCTTTACTTTTTTGTCCACAAATCGAAACCCTGCATTCACCAAATTGACTTCTACTTTTGGAACTCAATTCTTAATGATCTTAAAGTTCAAGCTGATCATATTCGATTAGTGATGGATAATTTTGTGCATTTTTTAGTTGCAAGTTTACTGGTTTTGTTAACAATAATGCAAAATAAGCCGATGATGACTTTGACTTTGAGCTTTAGATGGGTGTTAACATGGCCATTGTTTTTGAAACCTTGACTTTTGAATGGCTTCTGTTTTTTACTCTTCAATCGATATCATTTTATACCTTTAATCTGGCCTTTTCAATTTGCACCTAATTATCACAAACGTCTTCCGAGCAACTGAACAGCTTTCTTGTTACACACGTCATTTCGTAAATGTTTACTCATTAAACTGTATCAAGTCCGGTTGCTTTCATGTTCAACTTGTGTGTGAATGTGTTGATAAGAGAAACGGATTCAGATTGAATTACTTGAACAAGCAACAATAACAACCACAAATTGATTTGAATCAAATTTTTTTGTTTAACTCGTAAAAAAACCAACAAAACCAAACACGATATCAACACGAAATAAGCCAAACTTTATCTCAACCATCTTGTATCAACTATAATAACTAATCAATCCAAGTCCAACCAATCGAACCAGTTAATTGGTGCAACAATCACATTTTAACACATTATCCTCTTCTGGTTTCACCTTTAATCAACAATAATTTCACCTTTACCTTTATCCAAATGAACACTTTGATAGCAACGCAAATGTTGAATAAAAGCTAATAATTTCAATCAACAATTAATTTTCACGAAAAGGCTAATTTGCCAGGCAATTGATCAAGAACTGAATCAATGAAAATGTTTCCTCAATTGAAGAAGCAAATGGATCTAAAAAGGGTTGATAACGATCATGAGATGTTAACAGGAAGAAATAATTGATTAGTAAATTGTTATTGTCATAAATGGAATCTCATTTTTTTGTCGACTTGTTCAAATATTGTTTCAATTCGCTGTCGATTCATTTTCATGGATCAACCAATTAGACAAATACAGTTATGATATTGACTCACAAGTGATTCAAGCGCATGAAAAGTTTCAATCAAATTGGCTGAGAAAAAAGTGTTTAACTGTTTTCTTGTTTTACTTGAATCACTTTTTATTCACTCGCTTATTCCTTATTAACCATTTATCCAGCGTTTTTTGTCATTCATTCAATTGCTATCGTTTACTCTTTTCATAACCTTTTCAATCTTGAAAGTTTTCAATTGAAATGGATGTGTGTGTGCGGTTCAGAACTAATGTTATTAGACAAAGTAATGAGTTTAAAGACAAAAATTGGTATAAACATCCATTGAGAGCTAATTTGAAGGTAAAATGGTTCAATGAAGATGAGCTAAGACAGGAAAGAAAGTAAGTGAATGGCTGAAGAAGAAGAAGAAAAAAGTTCACTAAATTGGTAAATTGATGATGAAGATGATTATGTTTATGAGGAAGGAGTGAGAAAGAACAGGTAAACGATATTTGAAGGGTAAAACTGGTAGCTAATGAGATGAGTAAAGTCAATTTCATATTTGTCAATATTCACTCAAATCTGTGTAACGGACTTTTTTTGTGTGCTTTTCAATTGATCAATGCTTTATCGACCATAAATATGACAATCGTGATGGAAATGATGGAATTGGTGAAAATGATGTTCAAGAGATGTTTTTTTCTCTCTTGAGCTTTCATCGTTTTTTTTTTCGCCATCAAAACTGTTCTTTCCAGTTTATCCTCTGAACTATTTTAATATTGTTCAACTTTTTTGCTATCCATTTATCTTAAACATCTTTTTGTACCTCAGTTTTTCACTAGTTAACAAACCATGCAAACAGGATAGTCACTCCTCTCTGCCTTCATCTTCATCATCATTTTACCCTCTTCTCACTCTCACCGCCATCAACCTCACCAACCTCGCTCCTTCAGTGTCTTTCCTTTTGCCTCCCCTTCTCTCCTCCTCATCACTCTCTCTCTCCTTCTCTTCATTTCTTCTCTCTCCCTCAAGATGAATGTCATTTTCGGGTAACCCGCCAAAGATTCAGTTTGACGGTAAAAATAAGGCACATTATGTCTATCCAGACTTTACTTGATATGTGAATGTTTTTTGTTTGTGTTTTGTTCAATTGCTAAGCGATATTTTTGGTTCCTGTTTTCACCTTAAATTTTGGATAATTTTTTTACTCCATTTGTGTGATCACTTTATGTTTCCAGTGTCTTGTCCAACGGAATATTTTACCAAATTTCCTTGTCCATCGTAAACCTGTTATTTGGGATTAACTGTTAACTATGACTTGAACTACAACTCTTGATTAGCTATTGACAATTGACAATGTGATCCTCTTTTTGTTTGCTTCATTTCTTGCCTTTTCTTCCACTTTTGTTTCAATTGCTTTCTTCATCTTTTCTCATTTCTCTTCATCACTTTTCTCTGTGATTTTCACTGAGCTTGGAATTCCCATGAGATCGGAAAATGTTTACGTTATAGTGATGCCGAAATGATATGTTTGTTTCACTTCAACAATCTTTTGTGTGTCCTACCTGCACGTCAATCATCATCAATAATAATACCATGCAACATTGGCTGTTTTAAGAGGCGAGTAAAGCGAGTTTCATCGCTTCTGCTCAAGTTTATAAGTT